ACTTTACTTACGGTCACTACCGCGCTTGACTCAATTGTCCGTCTCTATCTCTGCCTGTCTGCAATTCTCTATTTCCGATTAAATTGTCTCGCTTTATCTGGCGCGCTTATATATACAGGAATAGAGGGCGTCTAGCAAATACTGGATTGTTCGAGATGTTCCCGATCCTTATAGAAACTCATCACGTGTTACCAGCGTCACGTGACTTCCGCTGTCGTAACAGTTGTTTGTCATGATTTGTTTATTCTAAAGTTATCTGCATATTGCGAACTGTGCAGAGTGTCCAAACAACTTATGAAATCTCTTAAGGATTTACTCAAGTAAAAGGTAAAAGTATTTTGTGTGGTTAATTTTCAAGTTTAAGTAAATTTAAATATTTTTATCCAAATTTAGACAAGTATGCGAGTCTTAAAGAATTAAATGTTACTTTGCACCTAAACTTATTATTTAATATATTTAAATTTTATTGGGAACTATCTGTAACAAATTTAAAACTCCAAAATATTATCTATTTGGCCTTACAATTTATTATTTTGTTATCTTGAATTTCGCATAAATCTATTCCAGGTCGGCCTGTCTGATTTTGAAGAGATCAACTAAAGAGAAGGCAGATTGTTTGTTTGTATCAAATAGTTTCCGTACTTTCGGTGTGAGGAGAAAAAATTGGAAGAAATTCAATCAAAATTTGAGATTTTATATCTCGTGTATTTCTTAATGGATTGCGTTGGAATTTGGTATATGAAGTAAGGGTCCAGTATAGCACATTCACTGAAAATGTGTTATAGTTTAGATTACTACAGTCCGAGCTACAGAAGGTGGAAAATTGCTAAACTATCACTCCTGTTAATAACACAGGGTGTCCTGCAGCAGGTTGTTTTGACCACCACGACACAATAGCGTGTCTTGATCCTGATGAAGTAATATATAATTTCTTATTATATTTTAAATGAAACACAAAAGTAGTTTTGTCATGTAGTTTGAAGACTGACATACCCTCGTTAAAACGCAACTTTAATGATTATCTTTTTCCATTTGAACAATTATTCCTGAAAGTATCTGAACAAAACATTTGGTCCAACACTTGTGATAGTTTTAGAACCATAGTGGTGCCTTTAATAGTTCTTACTGTGGTTTTAACATATAAACACAACATTTGATCTAACATTTGTGATAGTTTTAGAACCATAGTGGTGCCTTTAATAGTTCTTACTGTGGTTTTAACATATAAACATAATATTTGGTCTAACACTTATGATAGTTTTAGAAGCATAGTGGTGCCTTTAATAGTTCTTACTGTGGTTTTAACATATAAACATAACATTTGGTCTAACACTTATGACAGTATTAGAACCTTAGTGGCGCTTTTAATAGTTCTTACTGTGGTTTTATATTAGTGAATGATTTGAATGAACATCAATAAAGTTTTCTTCATTACCCATTGAAGCCGGCCCCAAATTTTTATATTACAATATAAAATTTAAGGTTTGGGCAGTGCGTTTGTTGTGATGTTATAGATTATTGTACACCAAAACTTTAGTAGAAACTTTACAAAATCGTGTTGAAACGTTGTACATTTGTTTCCATATTAAAGTTGTAATAAAGGTTTCTTCATTATCCATTCAAGCAGTCTTCGAACTTTGTCTCAGTTTGTTCCTCGTCATCATTTACCGTCCAAATTCGTATAAAAACTACAGTGTAGTATCCAGATTCAATGCTGTATACGTTACCGACTGTTTCAAATAACATTTATAGGGGAGAAAATCCCAAACTCGTACCAATTTGTACAAGTACCTGTGTTATCCCTCGAGATGCCCACCCCAAATAATAGACCCAGAAACATGGCCAAATTGGTACGAGTTTTAAGCAGTTGGCATAAGCAACATTTCAACACCATGTTAACAACTACATGCAAAACGCCTGCACGAAAATTAATGAAGTACGTGAATATAGATACATTTTGGAATGGCAAAATTTAATCAATGTCAACAGATGGCGTTAGCGTGTTTCTAATTCATTATTTATTTAATTTCATTAATAATATTTGTTGAGATATTTAAAATACTTTGTTTCGTTTTTTTCTTACACACAACATACATTATATATAGTGTATTGTTTCTTTTCAAAACGTTCCTGTAATTGTCATTAACAGACAGGCTTGTTTCCAGCTTGAAAAAGAGAGTTTGGTCGAAATGTCGCCAAGTTAATAAATTATTATCAGTTTTTAAAGGTTATTATTTTCTCTAACAGTTAATTTATTTTATTACCTTCGCTTTTTTCTTACTTATTTATTCACCGATTTCTTAAGCGACTATTTAAACAACATGTTTCTTTCTCGAACAGTTCAAGATGTTTTGTATACATTTGTCGTTAATTATAAATATCCTCGAGAACATTTACATAAACTATTTTTCAATGCTATCGAAATAACTTAAAACTAAGGACGATTTAGAAGTCAAGCATTAGGTGGCTTTTATTTGCGTTTATTTTTAATGTACATATTAATTGGGGAGAGGTACTTAGGGTTATCTTCATGTATGCAGTAACGATCCAGTTCACATAATAAATTGTTTTTGTAGGAGTCTATTGGTTAGTGTTTCTATAATTGTGCACGAATTTTGAGGATGTTGATCTCGGTACTTTTTAAGTACATCAATGTAAGCATCACGCCTCAAAATAGATAAAAGAAAGTTACGACTCTGTTCAGAAATATGTTTATACAGACGAAAATTGTAGTCACCTATTACATGACATTGATAAACTTGTCACTTTTAAATTTTCAGGCCAAAAAGGTATAAAATAAATAGGTATATTAAGAAATGTAAAATTCAATAAAAACAAAACAAAAACATCTTTAAATCAGTAATTAAAAGCTTAACATTTCTAATTTCTAAAATGCTTATAAAATAATTACAATCGCGTGTCTATCTGTTGACCTTTATCTACAAAGTTAAGATCTTGACCTTTCGTTTCCTTCTGCAGTGGTGAAATTTTGTGGTCATTATTATCATCATCATTACTGGGTGATGGAATGGCTAAGACATTAGCTATTTGAGTTTCGCTGGCTACTGAAACAAGAGAAGCTCCCATGAAAACGCTGTCATTTTGAGTTGGTTCTGATCCAGAGGGGTTGTTATTCTGGTCCGATTTTTTTTCAGTTCGATTATACGATAGCACCTTCACGTTCTGGTTTAAAGTTTTCCAAATTTTCCAGTTTTTGTAATGGAATCTGAAGGTAAATAAGAAACAGTAGTAAAATATCAACTATATAAAAAGAGCCAAGTAATGTTAATACGTATTTTCACTTTCGTCATAGTTCTAATATTTTCTTAAAAAGTAGCTAATTTAAAATTCAATTGAAAAAGTAAGTAAATGTTAGTTATATTTTACCCAACAAAAATTTTGAAAAACAAAAAGTGATCAAGTTTTAGGAAACAAATTTCCATCTACTGACTGTAGTTCAAGCTATTTTCGAACGAAATAAGCACGTGACAAACTTCAGAAAATAAAGATAAGAAGTCACATACTTTCTGTGTTGTTGGTTTTAAAACTCCAATAAACCGCAGTTTACTGTTGAAAGAAAACGAAGCGACGTTTCGGCTTCAATACCCAAGAAGGCATCAGCATACACGTCGAAACGTCGTGTCCTTATCTTTTAAATTAAAGTTTAAGTCCATTAAAGCTCTCAAAGTTACTATGTCTAATGTGTTTAAACTGAAACACTCCAAACTGCTTAATATTATTAGCAGTGCTTGAAGTGGGGCTGGATGCCATCTTACTTCTGTTCAGGAGGGCCCGAAACCATCCGCTACCTTTTATTTAATCATAAACACCGTAAGCGTGACAAAAGATGCGACTAAAAAACAAAATAACAAGTAACTGATAAGTAAATACACATGAAAAAATATTATATATATATATATATATATATATATATATAGTATACGTACGTAACTAAAACCTACCCCCCTACCTTACAGACTACTACGTAGTTACCAACCCTAA